GTCATGTTGGCTTTAGTTAAAGCCAGAGTCTATTGGACTTCAGTTTTCTCCATCAATCAGTCACAAAAAGCATTTCCACCTAACACATAGTATATTCTAACATTAGGAAATCATGGTTTTGTTTCACGTGCAGATTTGCAGTAAAGGCTTTGCTCTAGAGGATCCTATCCAGATGACATTTCCAGGCTTGCCAGCTGGATCGAGTCAAAGTTCATCATCTGCTACTTAAACCTGGGGCAGCCTGGTGCTCTGACAGACCTGCACAGATCCCCAGTATGCCCATGCAGGCCATCTAGCCAGACCCATCTATCCTGGCAGCTTTTGTCTGGCACCAATCCTTGCATTTATTGAATTTTGGACAGGCAGTCTGCATTTTGGTTGTGTGCTAGTGGGCAATAATGACAGTTTCTTTCAGAGGAAGGGGAAAGCACCACAGACCCACTGTCTGAGGTTCACAGGACAGAAGGCCCATGAGATTTCACATCAATCCAGACCTGTCTGGCAGTTTATTTCTGCACAAATCCTTTCATGAATTATTAGGATAACTGGTGATGTATCTTTCTTAACCACTATGGCATTCTTTTGTCCTATTGATCAGGTGCAGTGCTGAGCTGCTTATTTTGTAATTCTTTGCTGCTTTAAATTGTAATAAATTACATAATTCACTGGCAAAACTGCCAGGCAGCCACACACTGGAAATACAAACATTTACAGCACCGATTTTTACCAGGAAAACTGCATGTAACCACTCAATTTATCTCTCTTCTGGAACGTGTGTCTTTTAATCACGTGCCTGGGCAGGGTGTACCTTCTTGCCAGAGCTGTCCCTGCACCCCCATATGATAAAACAGAAGAGCACAATAATGATGCCTGGATTACCAATATACTGACACTGCACAGGAAAGGTGGAGAGCAGCTGCATATGCTCTGGTTCCAGCAACCACACCCTGGCAAAGGGTGCACAGGCGCCTAGTCTGTGGGCTGAACTGGCTGCAGCAACCTTTGCCATCACATAAGTGCAGGCGCATTACTTATACCCTAACAGTTGGGGTAAAATATAGTGTATTTTAGCTACTTTTGTTTATCCTCTGTTTTGAGAAGTGTATTATATTTGAAAGTGAATTTCTGTGTAGAGATAACAAGTGTTATCAGAGACTTGCATGCACTTCTCACAGACATGCTTGAGCTCCCTGTTACAGGACAGATCACAAAAAGCACAGAGAGGAGATCACAGCATTATGTTTCCTCTCCCCTGTTCAGCTGAGAAGGGCAGTGATAGAGTAGCTTTGGTGGGTACTTGGAACCAGCCAGGGCCAAATCACAAGAGGGACCCTGTGACACTGTGGTGCCTCGTGGTGCCAAGGGGCCATTATGACACTGTGGGGACACCTGGAACCAACCCTGTGACACTGTGGGGCCTTATGGGAACAGAGGGCAATTATTGAGGGCACATGGAACCAAGGGGACCCCACTACACTGCAGGTCCTTATGGAAACAAGTAATCCTTGTGAACCTGAGGGGGCTCGTGCACAAGGGCCATTGTGACTCTGTGGGGGCACACGGAACCAAGGGGCTATTGTGACACTGCAGGATGCCATGAGACAAAGAGGCTCTCTGGGGCTTCTTGGTGCCCAGGGGCCATTGTGACACCGTAAGGCCACGTTGAACCCAGTGCCCACTGGCCTTTGTAACCAAAACATGTGAATGTAAACATGGGGCCGAGGAGCCCCTGTGACACCGCGGGGCCTCATGGAACCAAGTGGACACAGTGACACTGTGGGCCCTCATCGTGAGCAGTCTCTTGTGATAGTTGTGTGCATCTACAGGGAGGCAAACCAGAGGAGCCTAAGCCTGTTGATCCCAAATAAGCCCATCTTCACATGAGCATGTCTCTGAGAGCAGTGCTCCATATTCCCTCTGCTCTCCAGGGCACTTCCATCTTTTGATGCCAATTAATCTGGTAGCTGACACCACTGGGCAGGGCCCCCATGGCCTCAGCCTGACCCCAGACTGGGCCCAATTCTCACTCATTTCCACCAAAAAGTCTCACCAGCAGCAGGCACTTGGTCCTCACAGCACACAAACACACACAGACACACAGTGAAACTGGGAATACACAGAGAGCAAACATTGAAGGAGATTGAGTAGGACAGGGCAGACTGTGGTGATCAGGTACCAGGATCAGCCAAGAAAGTCCACTGAGCAGCCTCTTTTCACCATACGGTCAGAGAGAATGGATTGGAAGATCTCTGCTCTCATCTGGCCCCCCCTGCAATGAGCAGGCACATCTTTCACCAGATCAGGTTACTCAGAGCCCTGTCCCACCTGACCTTCACTGCTTATGGGAATGGCACATGCACACCACCCTGGGAACTTGTTAACAGAGCAATTACTAATCACACTTGTTACCACAGCAACTATCAACTTAGGACTCCTTCCTAAGTGTGGTGCCACAGCAAGCAACACTTGAACCAGTTGTGGTGCTCAGTTGCCATGGAAACCAGCACCAGGAACCCCTCCCCATTCCTATGGGCTTGTGCCATGGAATTCTGGAGCTGTGATGTTACCATGACAAACATCAGCCAAATGCCATGGCAACCAGACATGGAAACGCTGGTTGCCATGGCATTTGGCTGAAATGCCAGGGACTATTTCCATGGTAACCACCACTTGGGGATGGCTGTCATGGCAACCATCATGGATACGCTGCCAGGGACTGTTGCCCTGGACATTTCACTGAGACCTGTTGCCATGGTTGGCTGCCACCACAACCATTTCAGGTCCTGTTGCCAAGGCTGGTTGCCATGACAACCATCATGGCAGTTGCTATGGCAGTTGCCATGACAACCTACCCAGAGACCACCCCCATTGCTGCAATTTCCTTGGCAACCATCAATAAACCAATTGCCAGGGACTTGCACGAATCATTTGCCATGGAAACTATCCCACAAAGCTATTGAAAGGTAAGTGCCATTGATGCCTCAGGTTTTAGCTTTTATATTTTTCAGATTCTGTTCTGCTTTAGTGTGTAAGTCTAGGCTTCATATTAGGGGATAATAAGCTCTCTTCACAGAGTAGGGAGACAAAACAATTCCTTCTCTAGCTGAGGACCAAGGACAAATGATCCAGATCTCAGGCCCAAGAGCATAAACAACAGTGGACCAAAGACAGAAAACAAGAAGGATGAGACTTAATGGGCTAAAGCTGTAATTGGACAATTAGCTCCAATATGCTAATGGACCAAAACTTATAAAAGTGTGGACCTGTTGTCCATTCTGTGGCCATTTTGGGTTGTGCTGCCCAAGGTGGATCCATTGAGGCCTCTTAATAAATACCTACTTTATTCTTTAGCTCCATCCAGTCTCTGTTCCAGGTCAGCCTTCACAAGGGATCAGTTTTTGGCGACCCCAAAGGTACACAAAGCACCTGGGAAACCCCTGGACCAGAGCCAGAGGAACATCCAGCTCTAGCCCCCATCCCCCTCACTCCTGTGGCACTCCCGGGGGGCCCAGCTGCAGTCCAGAGGGTGTTGGAGCCCCAGAATCTCGGGAGCTGACACGTGTGAGCAGATAAAGGGGTGTTCTCCCCCACGGGGTGCTCCAGCAAACTGGGCATGAGGCCAGCGAAAGAGACACGGAGAGATGTAGCTGTGCATTATTGCCATGGCAACAAGGAGGGGGACCCTCAGTCCATTCACAAAATCAGGCACAGAAACGGGCAGATACAGATTTTACACCCTTCCCTGCTGTTTGCATTTTCTGCAAGCTTTCTGGAGTGTTGCTGGCAATATTTTTGTACTTTTTCAGGTGATTTACACACCACCTCACAGGACACATTCACGGTATCAGGAGAATTATGTGACATACCATGGATTCATGTCCCTGGAAAATACCAAGATTCTAATTGATTAGTTACTGTTTGAGTCTAGAAGTGGGCAGTACAAACTTCAATTTTTCACTTCCAAGTGCTCATGGGGAAAGCACAGCATATTCTTCCAGATCTTTGCACAATATTTGTTAGCTACATACAATAACAAATCTCATTTACATCACTGCTCAACAGCTCAACATAAGGAACCCAAACTACTAGCCTATCCATAAGACTACACAAAAAGAATGCAACAAATATGTTTTGCCTCCCACTTCAGCTGAATTTGGGATTTTTGATTTTTCATTTTATTTTAAGACGTACTTGCAGTTTTCTTGTTATCTCTAGGCTCTGAAGTAGAGTTTGTCATTGTTGTGAAACCAAGATTAATCAAGGATTAATACAGAAATAGATGTTCTGATTTATCCTTACACTTCTGCTGGTCCCTAGGAAGGCTGGTGGGTGGTTTCTGTCTGTGTTCAAATATTTAAAGCAACAACATCTAGTCCCACACTTCATATTTCAGACAAACAATTTAATGGCATCTTAACATTGTTTTCACAGTCTTTTAACATGCACATTTTACTCCTTACGAAGCTGAAATCTTTTTAAATACAAGTAATTTTACTGAAATTTTAGAAGTTTCAAAACAGTTTCAACATACTGAAAACAAAACAGTCTAAAAAGACAGGTCTAACAGCCATTAAAATGCAGGAAAAAGCAAGAGGACTTCAGGTAAAAGTACATATATTTAACAGCTACATTTCTTCCACTAAGTACTTATGTGTTAAGAAAAACGGAGTAAATTTAAAAGAACAGAAGTTCTTTAAAATCAGAATTTCTAATGCCAGAAACAGCTTTGAAACAACTTTCTATTTAGTTATATTTATTTCAAACTTTAAAATTGGCTAATTTGTGTCCCAACATTTTGAAGCACAAGGGAGGAAAGGTGGAAAATGCTCTGCAGGGAGACGTAGTTATAGATCCATAAAGTTTATACGTGTAAAGGAATGAACATAGTATTAAACACACTGAGTATGACAGAAACATGCAACAAAGTACTAACTCTGAGAGAAAAACAACCCTGTGGTGGCACCAGGAAGCAATGCCAGGGCACTGGGTATTTCTGCATTTTAAGCAAAGAACTTCACAACTTCTTTAATTTTTCTTTTCCTGTCCATTTTGGAAACTGCAGTCCACCCTGCCTCGCGCATTCTCCTCATGGTTTTGAGTTTCAGTGCAGAGCCTGGAGATTTCACACTGGATGGAGCTGGTGTCTAGGAAGGAAAATAAAACATCCACTAGTTTCTGTAAATAATCTGATTAACTGTTTGGTTTAATCTTATGAAAGGCTAACATACCTTTCTGGGTGCCGTGGAATGTAACTCTGAAGCTTGTGGATAATCTTTGTACAAATTTTTAAAAATTTCTTCTTCCGAGACTATGCTCTAATAAATCAAAAAGTTACTTAGTCACGCTATATTAAAAAAATACTTTTTCTTTACCCCTAAGGATATTAAACTATGAAAAAAATAAAGTTAAGATGTAATTATGAGGCATAACAGTTCAATAAAAAGAATGTTAATTATGTACATACAGCTGCAATTCCACAAAGAACCAATAAAGTAAAAATATACACATAAATATTGGCATGAATGTGGAAGCCCAAACTCTTTATCTTCATTCTTAGACACAGCAGTGAGCACAAAGAGCTGCTCAGCACACGATTTGTTCTCTGACTCTTACCAGGAGGTCAGTGTGCTCAGAGCTGTCTGACTGAGTATCCAGCGGGAGAAGCACTTTCTGCTTTTTCCTTGTGCTCTGCTCTGAAGGCAGGTTTGTGCTTCTTCCACTTTGCATTTTATCTGTTGGAGGAGTCTTTATAATATATGTCTGGGAAAAAAAAATGTTTATATTTTTAGATTATATTTTACAGGGTAAGTATGGAATCTAAACCCAAACTCATGACCCAGTTTACAGTGTGAGTGTCCAAGAAGACACCTGAGAGACATGGTAGAACTATTATCTTTCCATCCAAACATGAAGCAAAGACCCAAACAAAGTGGGGTGGGGTGGAAATATAATTTTTTATATTATTTTTGGTTGCCAAAAGAGGAGAATGAACAGGAAGCTATGGAAGAGCTGAGTTTCATGGCACATTGTATTTAAGTTCTTCATGCTTATCTGCAGAAATTCAGGTTATTCTGAACTGTAGCCACTACATGTGGACTATATCAAACATCTAAGAAAATGGAAACAAACAAAACTGCAGGAAAAGGCTTTCAGAGAAAGACTGATAGCTATATCAAGATTGGTGTTACTTAAAATAGTCTTTTCACTAGAAGTTAAACTGAGAAGCTTTGCAGTGGTCCAGTGCAATCCTTTTTTAGAAAAATGGTGCTGGATTCTATTGTTCCATGAAAACCACAAGTAAACTCCTGACAGGGAAGAAGGGCAAGTTCTGCAGTCAGGACTACTTTGATACTTTGACAATTTTTACAGCTGTATAAGATTTTTCTCTTCCATAGAGAAAAAGTGCCTTTACAAAGGGACACTTTTAAGACTAAGTAAAACAATTCTAGAGACATAAAGCAACAACTGAGCAAGAAAAACTACACACTGGGAGCCCTTCCAGAAACTGCTGTCTAATATCTCCATGGAATGGTATGACCCTTTAAAATCCCTTCTTATCCCAGGGGAGAAAAAAAAAAAAAAAAAAAAAAAAAAGCATCTACAGAGAAGTAAGGAATACAGGCAGAAAAATCCAACAAGAACAATTTACTGTTAGGTGTTACAAAACTTCAATGCTGGACTGCCCAAAGGGCTTCCTGTGCAGGTACTGAAGGAAACATTTTTTATTTTCCACTATGTTGACTTCTGTATGAATATAATTTGGAGACTTTCTATTTTTTACATGAATAGATTCACTGTATAGATCTAAACAAGGTTTAGGAACATAAGTTTGTATTTTCTATAATTTAAAAAGTTTTAAGTCAAAAACATTCTAATGTCTTTTATTGAATGCAAATAAATTACCATGGCACTTCAATTTATTCTACACATATAAATCATACCAAATTCTAAAATAAATTAAAAAGTTAAAGTTACCTTGTATTTCTTTTCACTTTCAGGAATCATGCTGCGAGAGTGCTCTTTTACAGGATTCTCCTAAAAAAGAGTTATGTGATAGGAAGTAAATATTTATTTGAATTCAGTTGTTAAAAATCTTCTTGGTGTAATTACAGAACACAGTCTATAATCACAGACTGTTACAAAGTTCACACAAATATATGACCAGATTTAGTACAACCTCAGCACTCAAAAGTCACTGGTTTTGAATTCAGTTTCATTTCTTACACAACTTCTCCCACAGCACAGGCCCAGGCCACACCTCTCACCCACACTGGTCAGTTAATAAAAAACTGCACCTTTTCCTCAGTTCCTGCTTTCAGTTGTTCCTTAAGGGATGACAGTTCACTTTTCAAGCATGACAGCTCGTTTTCCTAAAAAACATTAAATAAAGGACAGGGTTAACTATGCACAACCCGGAAAAAAGAAAACAGTCCCAAGTGAGACAGTAATTAATAGGGATACTCATAAGATACAAAAGATAATTCTATTTGCTTTTCAACCCTGTGCTTGAAGCTTTGCTTTACCTTGTTTAAAAAAGACTGAAGTACTGTAAGAAATGGGTACTTGATCAGAAGAGTTCAAGGTAATACCTTAAAACGCTTGGGAGAATGGGGGTGAGAGGGCACAATCTAACTAAAGCAAAAGTTTCCTATTTAAAGTGTGAAGTCAGAACATGACACACCATCCAGAAGAGCAGACACAAACACACTGCTACTCCAGTTGATTTTTAGAAACATTTGGAGAATTTAGTGCCCAGAATAAGATCTGCTGCAGCAGGTTGGGTGGGACTGCCACTCGTAAAAATTAAAACCACACTGGAAAAGTTCACAGAGAACTGTCTCTGGTGGGAAAGACCCCAGAGCACAGCAAGAAAAAGAAACTCTCTAAGTGAACAGAAAAAAGATTTTTAGCAGTCACAAACTGACTGAAGATCACATCTTTTATCTCTCTGCACTGTCGGTGGGCAAGAGGGAGGGATTGGGAAAAAAGGTGTTTTAAAGGTTTATTTCAATTCTCATTACCCATTTTTAATTCTATTAATAATAATTATTTTGGTACCATTTAAGTTTGAATCTGCTTTACCCTCAAAGTGTTTTTCTCCTAATCCTTATCTCATGAGTCCTTGAATTTTTCATTCCCATCCTCTGCTCAACTATAGCAGAGAAAAATGTGTGAATGTTTTTTTTGTGCATGCCTGGCACTTAGCCAGTATAAAACCACTACACAAGGACATCAGCCCCCTCACTGAATTATTTAACATTGGAAAATACTCCTTACCATTGCTCTTTCTGATGATAACTGCTTTTGGTATTTCATTTTATATACTTTTAACTCTGCATCTTTTTCTTCAACCATTTTATCATATTCATTCTGTGTTAAAAAAACCAAATCAACAACAAACTCAAAACATGTGACTAAATGTTACAATTATAGAGCTATCCAGTCTTAAAACATCAGTAATTTTTTCAAAGCAGCCTTTTAAGATTCAGAAAGAAAAGATTCATTGGTGCTTCTGCAGAAACTGTGGCTTGATTAAAGTATTATTTTGTGGACTGGCAGAGTCTTTATTTCTATGCAGCAATATGTGTTCAGCACCTAAGAGCCAGCTGTGCTATCTTTACTAATGGTATCTGCTAAAGGTATTGCAAAATAGAGTAACAGGAAGGTAAACTAAAATGTGGCAAGCTAAACTGCTGACAGTCACGAAGTAATCTTCTCAGAGAAAGAGGCCAAACTGATAACTGAAAAATACTGCATTCAGAGGTATCAAAAGAAGCCTGAATTTTAAAAAATCTAAAAATCCTAGAAGTTTAGATGAATGGAATTTATCTGCCCATAGGAATCTTTTCAAAATCTTCAAATTAATTTGATTTTAGATGATGCAAAGTCAAGCATGTGTTCAGCTTCCTTTTCCCAGATTCAGACCTTTTTCTGGTTTTGAAAGGTCATTAACATGGTATCACACATTACAAATCACAGCAATCAGTAAAATCTCTTACCTTGTGCTTTTCCATAAGTGCCATCATTTCAGTTATCTTATGCTGACATCGGATATCAGTTTCTCTCTGTATCATTGCTGTTTCATCACAAATCAACCTCATCTTTTCTATCTGTTAGTAATAAATTGCATTTCATTCATAAACATAACAATGTATTTTTTTTAAACCTTAATTTAATTTCTTCTTCACCCTGTGCATATAAAGCATGTAGTCCCACTTGGGCTTCATTTGCTTTTAAGATCCATTTCAAATCCCACATCTTTTATGCAGATTTTTAAAATGGGCAAGATCAAAGGTAGATCCATGGCAGGCAAGTTTACTTCAAACCAAAAGGCCATTTCAAGCACTCTGCCCTAGTGCTAAACATTTCTAAGAACCACCATCAAAAAAATGTGTGGGCAGAAAATACCAATATGGGAGAAGTTATAATCCAATTTAACTATGCTGACTTTATACCAAGGGCAGAATTTCTTTGAACTATATCTTGAAATAAAGAATTTTTAACGGAGTTCTTATTTTCAAAGACAAATCCAAATCCTTCAACTTAAGCACCTAATATACTAAAGCTTTGCTCACAGGCATAAACAAATTCCATTTATGTTGATAAGACTGAAATGTAAGAGCAAGGACTTCAGCCAATAAAGCTTCATAAAAACATTTCAAATTAAAAAAATTAAGTTGCAGTAAAAATTAACACCTCTCACCTCTTCACGAAGTTTATTTTCATTTACTTTTCTTGTTTCTATGTCTTTTTGATAGATGTCAACTGCTTCTTTATGTTGCTTGTTCATATTTTCCATCTCTAACTGCAATTTATTCACCTTTTGAGAATGCAGAATTGCTGCTGTTATTTGTTTAGGAATTACTATGTTAATGATTTTTTCTTACCTCGTATTTTTGAGCAGAAACACACTGTTACTTTCCAGGTATATGATTAAAGTCTTTCCTATTTAAAAGTTCAGCTTTTTTTCTTTTTTTTATAAAGAAAATACTCAAAGAAACAATGGCAACAGCACAATGGGGAAGCAATGGGGAAGACTGCCCTAAGCAGTCACCCTAAATGCCTCGGAAAAAACAAATACAGATGGAGATTTTACTCCCTCTCTTGTAAATCTATATAAGATTTTCACAGGTTTTATAGCACATTTTTCTCCCAGCTGTACATTTTGATTACAGTTTCTCCTTTTAAGTTTATTATATGAATATCCTCAAAAAAGTCCACTTTTCTCCAAGTGCAGTACCCAAAGCTGGACACAATATTCCCATCAGAGGGATTGCCACTGCAGAACACATTTAAAGAACAGCCTAAAGTGAGTAACATATATATATGTCTTTTAAATGTTTTTCTGTTACAATGAGGTTGCTGAACCCTGTTCAATCCACTATCAACAAAAGAAAAAAAAAGAAAGGAATAGATTAGAAACATAATTAATTGCAATGTGAAGTCCATCTCTTAAATGTCCAACAGTTGGTGCCCAATGATTAAAAATGGAAGGATTTTCTAAAAACTATGAGCTCATTCCTGCAAAGTCTGTATCCCAGATCCAAAAACCAGTTCAGAATGTATTTAACAAGTATTATCATTACTTAAACTGGGACTTAAAAACAGTCATCTTAAAAACCTCATCTTCTACATGACGTTATTTAAACCTACCTTCCCTTCATAAGTATTGGTTTTCTTGCTTTCTGCAGCCATTTTCTTTTTCAGCATCTTATTCTGTTGAAATAAAACAAAACAAGCACTGTACTGTAATAAGTGAATAGAATTATATAATGGTTTAACTGCATCAACAATGTCAGAATCTTCAAAATTCCAGCCTTCATCAGGCAAATAACTCTCTGTTGTGCAGCTCAGGTTCCAGAACAATTCTACAAACAAAAGACTGCTGAACTAATTACTGTGATAATTACTGTTTCTTCATGACCTTAAGAAAGGCTCCTCCTGAGCAACAGCAGGGAATAACAAATGAGGTGCAGAATGGGAATTAAAACTAAGATGCTGCTGACAGAAGGTGAAGATGTCATGACAAAAAATACAAGTTATCTATTTTTACAGTGAAGTTACTACAATTTGTGTGAGTGCAGAATTCTTTTCTACTAGCTGTAACTGAGATACTTATTACAAGTACATAAATAATACTATGCACTAAATGAAAAAAAGTAGATGTTTATTAAAGACATTATTTTTGTAATTGCTTTTTTCAAATTAAGGCTCATTTAACTAATCAAGTGATTGCAAAGATGACTCCCTAATTTGCTCAGGGTTAGGATAAGAAAGGAAAATTTTTAAATCACATAGGTGTATCTAAAGATATCACAGCAGACACAAATCTGCTGAAAAGTCAACCCAAAATACAATGTGTTTATGTATTTGTGACATTTAAAATCTACACACCTCCTGCTCCAACTCTTCAATGTATTTGGTTTTATTTTCCACCTGTTTCTTTAAATTATTCATCTGAAAGAGATATTTCAAACACTAATTAGTAAGTTCTAAAAATTACTCCCTGTATTAGCAATTCCTGTAAATGTTCTCAAACATGCACTTGCACCAGTCTGGTTTATTCCAATGGGATTGAAACACAAGCTGACGTGTTAGAATGATTGGAGTTTTAGCTATAAAGTACTACAAGATGTTAATTAATAGCAATAAAGCAGTCCCTTAGTAGTTATAGAGTTAAGAAAGAAGGAGAAAAAAACCCCCAGTATCTTCACAATTTAAAAAATACACTTCTATGAAGTTCCCTACATCCACGAAAAAATTAATTTTCCCAATTATTTTCTAGAATCTTCAACGGCTTTTCCTTTCTTGAAATTTCATTTTCAGTACTCTTAACCTGAAATTACAATTGTAAAATTTGACTTTTACAATGAAATTTTGAAATCCATTCTAATGCTAAAAACCCCAGACTGCTTTGAAACAATAGCAAGGAAGTAAAACTGTTTGAATCTATTTAAGCTAAAACTCACACTACACATAAAAAGCTAATCCAGAGCCCATCCATCACTGAGTGGGTATATGAAAAAACAGAAAAGCAGGTTCTCTGTTTCCCTGAAAACAAACAAATCTTTAATGTTAAACTTCCCAGCAAAGAGTAAACACCCCAATGACTGTGCTTCTCTTTTAAAATAATAAGGCTCAGCATGTGGACACACAATGTCACAATTGGCAGCAGGTGTGAAAGAAGAAAGCCTCTGGCAGAGATCACATCCCCCAGGCAGAGCTTTGCGAAAAAATCCCAACAAAGGTTTTACATTTAGATGCTGTCCTACAGGTTATGTAACATATTTTCATGACACATGATGTGACATACGTTTTCTTCTTTTTCATCCAGTGTACTTTTAATCTCTTCACCTGTCTTTGCCATTTTCTCCTTCAAAGACTCCACTTCATTTCTAAGTGCCAAATTAACAAGCATTAGTAAATATTTACTTATTGCCTTTAACTTATTTTCAGTACTTTTAATAAACCCATATTTTATTTTCTAAAAAGAGCTGCTAATGTCGATGGGAACTTCATAAGCTGTTCAATGAAAATGGCTCTTAAAATGAAGCAACACACCTAGTAAGTCAATATGTGAACTGTCTATACTTTTTTTAAGTAGGAAAAGATGTTCCAGCTAACCTAAGGAAAATACATCCTAACCTGGAATATTGTAATGCAGCTATGAAGCATGGGAGGTTGCCTATCTACTGAACTGATGATACAGAGACTTCTGCAGACAGTAACACTTATCCAGTTTTGCCTTGTCACATTTAATCCACAACCTTGAATTTCCATTTTAATTTCCTTCACCTAAGACGTTTAACAAGACAGCTCTTTCTATGTAATACAAAATGATGACAAACATTGTTCCTGTAGCAATTGGTATTTCTAATCTGAGAAAATCTACTTGGCCAACAGCAACTCTGAACAGTTTCTGTTTAGCTATATAATCTAGAAAAATATTAATCAAAAAAATCCTAGAAAACACTATATGAACACAACTAACTATTTGAGTCTACTTCCTTTAACAATATCAGATATTAATATTTGTTTCTACTTGCCTTAGCTGGCTATTTGCTTCTTCTAGGTTCCCAACTAACTGCTTTGTATTTTCTTCTTTTTTCTTACTATCCTGAATAAAGACCCGTGTCAGCAAAAAAATAAAATTCAAAGTGACTTCTTAAAAAATTCAGACATCCAAAGCACACTGACCTGCCTTATTCACAAGTGTAAATACACTTCCTTTCCAATTCAAACACAAAAAACAGCTCAGGTACTCTACAGAACCAAGTCATGTTGCAGCTCATCATCCAATTTGTAAAACTGAGTAATTTGTAACATTTATTATTGTCCTTTCAAAAAAGCTGGAAGTTTACAACTTGCCTCTTGTTGTTCTTGCAGTTTCTTGAGTTCTGCAGCCACAGCATTTTTCTCTTGCTCTGTTTGTTCTTGCTGTAGTGAAAGCTTATTGAGATACACTGTTAGTTGTTCATTCTTTAACCTAATTTAAAACAAATGGCCAAGAGGAATAAGAACATGCATTTTGAAATCTCCTTTTAAATTAAATATACCCATTATCAAGTGTCATTCCATGATGAAAAAAGTCCAGGCCTTTATCTACAAATATAAGCTTTGCAGCAAAGTCAGAGGGATATAAAAAGGTGACAGAAGAAGGAAAGAAAACCAGAGTAAACTTTTATATAAATATAATGGTTAGTGAAGATGATGCAGTTCAACACAAGATTAACAACGAATGCAGAAACTTTCTCTTCTTGTTAAATAAGTCAAAGGGATATGGAACAACTACATATGCCATAGAATACATACAAACAGAGAAAGTGTAATTTAGAAATGAAGTATATAATTAATGTCATACTATGTGGTTCAAAACTTTCATTAGAAAATAATCATAGTTCATTTCACTGTGTGTTAAAGCAACTTCTATATTACACCAAAAATAATTAAATACTATATTTTCAAAATGCTCATACGCCTCTTGTTCAAGATCTGTTTTCAGAGTCACAAGCTGTTTTAAATAATCTTGTTCCTTTTCAGTTGTACTAGTAAGCTGTGCTTTCAAATCATGGTTTTCTTTCTGCAAAATGAAAAGGAGGAATTTTGAGTATACATGTGCAAACTACAACTCATGGAGGTTATCAGACATGAACTAAGAGCAGAAGGCTTTCAGAAGAACCAAACAATATCCATGTCATGGATTATCTGTATTATCTGCATGTAAAGATATTATTATATTATTATTATCTGTATTATCTGTATGTATAGACTGTATCTTTACATATCTCTTGTGGGATATGGAAGTGGTGTGAGATAGTGAATTCTGACACCAGTGCTGTTAATGTCCCCTGCTGTGAGTTTAATTACCTAGTCTGCAAAACTACTAAGTTAGATTCCTTGGGCATGATTTTAAATAAAGACATTTGCTTCTCACTTTTAAGCTTTTGCATTCATCTAAATTAAAAAAAAAGACTAAATAAACATCAGAGAATTCCAGTTCTATACAACAGAATAGAAAGGCAATCAACAGGGCTGTGTCTTCATCCTTAGTACAGCTACTGTAGGAGTGCAAGGGCAACAGTCAGGCTCCTCTAAACAGGAGGATGGAGGATCTCCTGCTGTCACTGTTGGGAGCAGAGCAGTTCAGGGTGGGACACTGCTCTGGGTGCTATTTCTTATGCATAAACTCATGTACAAGTCATGATGTGTAACTTCACTATTTATAAAAACATGTTACTATTGCCCTACTTCAGACCTCTCTCATTTGGAGAGCATTTTCATTTGTCTCTCCAATTTTTTTTCTCTCTGCAAGTTTTCTACAGTAGCTTCAAGATCCTTCTTCAGTAAAAGTCCTCCAATTTGCCCATTTTAGAAAATGAAACTCATTCAGAACACTCAATGCACAGATTATAACAATAAGCAGACACGGTAAAATGCACACCTGATTTCACACGATCTTAACTTTAGTTGATATGGATTCTTGTTAGACTTATAAATATAAAATCATAATGAAAAAAAATCTCTATTAAGAGTGTACTTCATACAGCTTAGACTTCTGTGACAGAAAATGGGCCTGTGTCACAGCACAGTAGGGTTCACAGAGGCCAGAGCTAATTACCTTCCTGTAAGTAAGAAAAAATGGGAAAGCTTTATATCCAGAGGGAGTGGTATTTGAATGGGCATAAACAAAGAAGGAAATAACAAAAAACCTTGACAAGGAAAACCAAAACATGGGAGACAAGAAAAAACAAAGCACAAGAGACAAGAAAAACAGTGGCAATAAAGAAGTTCTTCAAAGAAAACACTGAAATTGTGTGTGAGAAAGTTTAGTAGAAATGTTAAGGTAGACTCGACTGTGTTTATTTATGGCATTTAAGATACTTATAAAGCAAGAGGAATTTCAAATGCCATGAAATTAATAAAATGAACATTTACCAGAGTTGCTGACAGCTCTTCAAGTTGCAGTTCTTGATCACATTTTACTTTAGTTATCTCTTCTACAGCACATGTAATGTAAAATTAATGGAAGAGAAATAATTTTTCATATTCAGCAGGCAGTATAAAACATTTACCCTTTTGCAATACCCAGTTCTCAAAACTTGTTGGATTAAGTTAAGAAACTGAAAAGTTAATTTATGACTTAATCTAAATGTAGACTTGAAAAAATGATTCAGACATTAGCAAATCTATATCTGAAGAGAAACTAAATATTTATCTTAAATAAAATTTAGAGCCTATTATGTTTTCCACAATTATAGCTTCAAATAAACCATGGACTGTAAGACTAGAGTATTCCCCAAGTATTGATGCATCTGCATTGTTCCAGAAAAAAAAAATCTGAACTGCTGAAGGTATCACATGGATATGCTGAAAAAAGAAAGCAGTTGTTACTAATTTCCAAATGTTTTCTATGTGCACATTCACAACGCTGGTACTTTTTGCAAGTTGTGTTTGGTGTGGAACTCCCACAGGTCTCATCTTGCCTTGTTCTAGACAAGCATTAGCAGTTCCCTCTTGAACACTTCTCTACTGCCCTCAGCGCAGATGGACACATCCAATTGCATTTCTCATCTGTCAGATGAGATCTGGGGCCACGTGCTGCACAGCAGGAAAACCATCCTGAAGGCAGATCTCTTACTCTGGGGACTAAGGAGCACATCCCTAGAAACCACATGATACCAAAGCAGTATTGAAAGACAACCCCTGCCAGCATCATTCCACTTCTAGCATGGGGAGGGTCTACAGAAACCTTAATGGGAGGGTTTTATCTCTACAAGCTACAGAAGTCACTCCTGGCACCTGCAGTGCTACTGGTCTTAGCTGGAAACCAAAATTACTTCCATAAGAATTCATGCATGAATGGTCTTACTATTGCAGCTCTGCACAGCACTGCCCTTTGGCTGTTGCCAGCACCAATGACCCCCAAAGAAAAGGGAGTCAGCTGAGTGAAAATAAATTTAAGCATTCCTGACAGCTATAGGTACTGTAAAATCATTTCTTCAACTACTAGAGACAGTCCATTTCCAGAAAACAGCAGAAATTTATTACAGCCTAGCTCATTTTCTGCCTTTCTCCAAGCCTTACCCAGTTCAGCAGATTTATTTTGGAGCTCCAAGGCAAGCAGCTTTGAATCATCTTCAGATTTCTTTAGTCTAAGAAAATGATAATTTTAAAATCCCAAATGTATAGTACAAAGCACTGCATTTGAAACTTAAAGGACAATAAGACAAAGTCTTAGCACAAGCACTTTACGAACATTTACCTTTCAACAGGCAGATGACATATCTGCCTGCAACACATATCAAATTTCACTCTTACAACTTCAGAACAGTAGACACAAAAGCAAACAAACATATACTTACAGAAATCTGCATTTCTTAAAGACAGAATTATGAAAGTTGGAGGGAGCAAAAATTTACCTTTTATAGACCAGTATCAACTATCACAAATAAAAAAAATTACATTAAATTCTCTGCATTTAGACCACTGTGTCAAAAAACCTCCAAATTTCAGCTTCATTTCCAATTGTTCTTGATTTTGTCATAGACTGCAACCTGTAAGATCACTCTTCTAATTTAAACTCATTAATTTACCTATTTTGCTCTTCTTGCAGCGAGCTTTTCAAATTGGCATTAGAAGTCTCAAACTCCTCTGTCACGGCTGCAAACAAAGCCTTCATTTTTTTACATTCTTCCTCCTGTTCTTCCTTTTCTCTGGTAACCTGAATTAATGTTTTCACTGTAGTCTGGAATTCGGTTTCTAAGGTCTTTTGAGTAACCTTCAAAACATGATATAATTTCTGAACATGTTTTGCAACAAACAGATACAGCTGTTTCATATCTAAAGTATCCATAATTATTTATGCAAATACTCATCTAGTCTATTTATGATGTAAAACTATAAGCAAGGTGTACCTCTGCCTTTTGCAATGAAATTTTAGCCTCTTCCAGCTCTGCCCTCAAATGTTCTTTACTGACCTGGGATTCCTTTAACATTTCTTCACTATGTACTAAACAACAAAAAAAAATGTTTATATCTTTTAAAATAGGATATTTCATAAAAAATGCTGTCAAAATTGAAAATTACATACATCTAAAGAATTTAACAAAGGTCAATATTACTGACATCGTATACTATAAAATAATATATAAAATTTGAATATAGATGGCTTAAAAATATTGAAAATCAAGTTCTGAAAAGTAAGTTGCCTCAGTGACATCTGCCTGACTGTAAATTTGCAAAACTGAAGCAACATATTTTTCCCTGGCAATTTTCAAAAGCTCTCACTGCTTGACTCACCCTGCCAGTCCTGATCCCACATGAGCAGCTTCTGTCCCAAACAAAAATAGGGCCTTCAAGGCCCCAAAATTCTGCTGCCAACCAGCAACAGAATAAGACTATCATGACCCTATTTTCTATGCTTCTATAAACAATTACATTTAAACACAGCAGGCAGAACTCTTACATTTTGCTTCTATTAAGTCAGCAATCTTATTTTGTGACGTCTGCAGCTGAGCCTTGATGTCTTTTATTACATCCTCTTTTTCATCTCTCTGCATGGTAAGAGCTGAAATCTAGCAAAATGCAAGAAATATCACAATGAAGTCTGGAAAAAGGACAGATACTAATTTTCATTTGTATCCCAGGTATGATAAGCAGACATTTTGCTGTCATTCAAGTTAGATTAGACAGATAGACAGACAGACAGACAGATAGATAGATAGATAGACAGATAGATAATATTTGGCTAGATATAATCTTAGCCAAATATTGGTCAAGTCACATTACTCTAAACAAAAAAGTTCTGCAATTCAAAATCAAACCATGAATTCCAGCAGACTAAAGGTACTGAAACATCACTAAACTTAGCAAAATTTGACTTAAATGCAGCTTCAGATGTTATTTTGTCTTTTTTACTAATACCCAGAAACACTTATTGGCTCTTGCATTTCCCCTTTAGTCACAAATAAAGCTCTACATATTAGATGGTAAAACTGAGCAAACCTGCTTTTCCTTTTGACTGACTTCCAGTTTGTATTCTTTTTCAAACTTGTCCACTTTTTCTGCTTCTTCTTTTACTTTCAAGATACAGTAATATCCATAGTTAACATTCTAGCTGAAATATACTCAAAGTTCAATACAACTTCCAGTTTAAGACTGCTTGTAATTGTACAGCTGTACAATTTGTTTCCCAAGAGTAATTGTGGAGGCAGTGTTTGATTTTATAATCAAAATATCTTTTTTTGCCAGCTTTCCACAGAATAAGTCCATTACTCCATGTTTGTTACAAGAAACTAATCAAAAAGAGCATGTAAAAATGACCCTTTAGTCACAAATAAAGCTCTACATATTAGATGGTAAAACTGAGCAAACCTGCTTTTCCTTTTGACTGACTTCCAGTTTGTATTCTTTTTCAAACTTGTCCACTTTTTCTGCTTCTTCTTTTACTTTCAAGATACAGTAATATCCATAGTTAACATTCTAGCTGAAATATACTCAAAGTTCAATACAACTTCCAGTTTAAGACTGCTTGTAATTGTACAGCTGTACAATTTGTTTCCCAAGAGTAATTGTGGAGGCAGTGTTTGATTTTATAATCAAAATATCTTTTTTTGCCAGCTTTCCACAGAATAAGTCCATTACTCCATGTTTGTTACAAGAAACTAATCAAAAAGAGCATGTAAAAATGAAACAGGAACATAGTAGGCTATACATATAGAGAGAGAGCATTTAGCTAAAGTTTCTGTAGCTATACACTAGTGCATTTCCATTTAAATAAGCAAACTACATGAAATAAGTATTGATCTCTAGACTATACTTCACAGACAAAACTTAAGTGACTATTTGAAAAATAAAGTTCCAAATTTGGCCCAGTGGAACAACAATAGAGGGGGCCAGGCAGTGAACAAAAGCAGCATGAACGAAAGAAGGGTCCCAGTGTCCCAGTGTGACCTGCTCACCATTCGAGCACTTCACATCTGTCTGCCCTGATACTGCATAATACTGTGTAATACAAGCTATGAAGCACAAAATTGTTGAGCCAGCTGCATAAACACAATACACAGAATTCTCACGTTTGAAACTCATTTCCAATCTGTCGTTCTCTGATTGCACACGAAGATCTTCAAATGCCACTGTCATTCTCTAGAAACAAAATTTAATATTTGAAGTTCAGTACTGGAAACCCTGGAACTTCTCCAGGGGCTGCTGCCCACCTCAGCCATTCTGAGAAACCACCAGGTAGGTGAAACAGAGTCCAAAAAGAAGACAGAAGTTCTGGCAGTCACCCAGCTCTAAGCACATATCACATGGATCTACATCCCACGCGCCACTGCGCTTTCTCCATTGAATGTGCTTTATATAACACAAAAATAATTCTTGAAAAGGGATTGAAAACCAGACTTCCTGCATCACACATGACATGATGGATACAAATAGTATCTCAACATGTAACTCAGCTCAGCATATGCACGTAACTCACAATCCATTCCTTTCACCAAGCTTGGTCACTTACTTCTATGTTGCTTTGAAGTTCCTCATACAATTGGATTGTTTCTTCTTTTTCCTGTTCATCTATCAAAGCAAGAACGTACAAGAAAGTTTTTCTTTTGAAAAAGAATACCAGCTATCCAAGTCATAATACTTAATCAGCACAATGAATAAAAAAAGGAATTATCAGCTCCAATCTTATTAAATAAGTAATTATGAAACATGGTGCCAAAAGTTACAGAATCTAGGGAAAATGTGTATTTCATTGAAACATTAAGCAAGCTCAGCTTTTAAATTTCCTTCCCAATATATTTTTCCTGTGAAAAGTGTAATTCTGGGTCAGTTTATGTAACCATATTAATTATTATAGTATTAATGCTGTGGAATAAAAATGTATATAAACTGTTAGTATTTGATAAGCTGTAATATAGGGTTTAGCACTGAATTTCTTCCTATCAGCAGATACCTATAACCACAGAACTGTCATTATAAAATTTCAACAACACTCCATGTCCATATTTTCCTTCTTTCCTTTCACTTTTGTAATTGATACTATTTTTCCCTAAGAAAGCAATTAAAAAGAGAACAGTAAGAAACACAGCTATGAAAAAAGAACAGTGCATCTATACACAAGTGTTTCTAGAATTAAGGCTAAATAGAAATAGGCACTTCTTAAGTATCCAGGATCAAGTCAGTAAAATTCTAATGATTGTAACAACAATTCTAAATTGCATGTAAAGTAAAATTCCCAATCAAGAACATGTTTTAAAACCTCAAGAACTTAAGCTTCATTAAGTTATCCAACTGTCTTGGCTTGTTCAGTTTCACGAGAAGAATTGTAGTTACTCATTATACCTTTTTTCCCCACAAATGTGTGATGGCTGAAAACAGGAACTGCCAGCTCTGGAAATTTGTTACAGTGCTGGGAATTTAGAGTAGATTCTACTGCCTAAAAACAGGCATGAAGTGTCACTTCAAATCTCTTAATATATTCACAGTATCTGGATGGGACTGAAAACCTTCAATGGGCTGACCAGACTTGAGGAGACCTGCCCTGCTCTGGAGTGGCTGTCAGTGGCTAATCAGGGGTGCTGGCACTGCCTCAAACCTGTATCACTGTTTAGGCCCCCAAATAGCTCCCAGGCAAAAACTTTCACTGACTTCAAGAGTCCTCTGGATTTAGCATAACAAATCATATGTCTGTTAGACCTGTGGCTTCACTTCCAATTTTGTGAGCCACTTAAAATTCATTTCTCGTTCTAAGAGCCACATCCAGTCGATCTCGACTGGAGAACTTATCTGAACAGCACGAGAACTTTCTTCTTTCTTCTGTTCGTGAATTTAGAGCTAGCTAGAAGTACATTTACTCTCATAAATAAAAAATTAAAAAAGCATTTACATTTGCTGGTCTTCTCTGTGAAGTGAGTGCAGGTTTCCTTGAGCAGATTACACAGATGCCTTGAAGCAGCAGCTCTAAAGGAGGGAAAAACACCATGATTACACAGGAGTGCACAGTACTTTGTGCACCTAAGGAGTAACAATGTAAATGACCTTTAAAATTTAACAGCTATATAAAACTGCCCACATGAAAACTGATTATTTTCACCACAAAAATATATATTTGGTTGTATTACTTACTCTTTCAAGAGATCTTTATTTTCACATATCTCATCTTCCAGTTTCAAGTGGAGTTTTTCATTTTCAAACTAATTTCATAGGGAACAAATGCAAAAAGACTGTTATTGAAAAATATATTAGAAATGCACTTCGACTTCTCAAATCCCTCATGAAAAAGTAATTTTGAGCATCAGTAGAGAGAAGTCTGTTTTATCTGGTATTACATGCTGACTCATCTTTTGCATGAAACATGTAATAATTAATGAACAATAATTTACCAGCAACTGAGACACTTACAGGTATATTCTTCATACACATCTCACACAGGACAGGTACCTGCAACTTCTCAAAATAATCATTTTCTCAAGGCACAAACCAAACTGCAACATTCTTTAATATTTAATTGTATCAATAATACTGTCCTACTGAATCAGGAAGCACTTAACTTCATCTATTCAATGTATATATCTATACAATACTGGCCTGCAGTTCTTGAATGGCTTTATTCTGTGCTTCAACAATCTTTCTAACTTCTTGGAGTTTTCTTTCTTTCTGGTTTAGTTCTGATTCCACAGTCAGTTTCCACTGCTTAATCTTCTCAGCCTCTTTGTAGAGTTTTGAGAACAATTCATTCATTGTTTCTGTATTCTATTAAAACAGGTTCCACAATTTAATCTCAAATACTATCTAATTAATACTGTTGTAGATAACATATTTATCTCCAAGAAACATCACAAGAGTAATATTTTTCCAAAGATGCTGATATAAGCTTATATGATCAGGAGCCAAAGTTTAAATCTTTGTGCAGCCTCTATGTATGTATCAAAAGGCATTACGGAGCACACAGGAGAAACAAATACAATGAAATATCCCAAACCACCTTCAGACGCCACCAAATAGATGATCTTAAAAGACATGCATAACTGCAGTCCAACAAAATCAATAAAAGTTGTGCTAGAATTATCAGTGAAGCCAAAATTCCTTCTAGCAGGTTCTTCGCGCCATTTCTGTCCTCTCCTTCTGACAGACACTGCTGAGTTAAGTAAAAGCAGCTTCAGAGACTTTGCCCGAGAGTGATACTGCCATCAACACACACGGGCAGGGAGGAGAACCACCACCCTTGTGCCCTTAGGGCACTTTGAAAGCGTCCTGCAAGCAGTGCTGGGCCGGTGATCAAGGCAGGTAAGAGCAACACACGAGCCCAAAGGGCGTTCAGTCCGCGTACAGCACCCCCAAACACCACCCTTGTTTTGGCTGCATCACAGTCTTGTTACAGTCCCGATGGTACTTTAATGGCTTAGGATTAATAAAGTCTAGTCGTCAGGGATATGAAAATCAGCAGAGAGAGTGCAAGAAATGTGTTTTCTTTTGTGGCAGCAAACAGTATTTTGTAGCTGCACAGTACAGAAGCTATTGCAAAAAAAGTGAGGTTTACTGAGTTGTGCTAAAGCAGAAATATGCTGCTAAAGACGCTGTGAAAAGAATCCAGTGCTTGAGGAAACCAAAGAATTCATTGTTTTACAGATAAAGTAAAGCCAGACAAGGCAATTGGGATTACCTACTTCAGCTTTCCACAGAATACGCTGACTTCAACCCCTCTGCCCCTCAATAGAATATTCAGACCAGTTTCACAAGGATACTTAAGTGTTTAAATCTGACTCTAATTAAAGCTCCTAGACTTCACAGGCACTTCAAAGAAAAAAAACAACAACGTTGCAATCACCTTAATTTTTAAATATTTGTTTCCAGTCATGTTCACTAAATCACAAATATATCCTCTAAGTTATTCAGCTTTAAACAGGAGACAGAACACATTACTCCCTTTTGACTACTTCCTTTAGCCCTGAAATATCTACTGAATAATGCATTAGGCACTGTTTGGGAACAAATTCAAAAGACCCCAAGGAATTAGACATGCAGAGTTGATACTTAGCTGACCTCTTCATCTACTTCAGAGCAAAGTTTTACTTGCTGAGAAATTGTATCTGAAACATGAAGAGATTTTGATCAACGTATTTCTAAAAAAAAGTAACAGTGAAACTGTATTTAACAGTTACAGATATGAAACTGTGAGACTACTCATGAAAATTAAAACTTGACAATATATAAAAATCTAAAAAACGTGCATGGCAAATATTTTAATCCTACCTGAATCAGTGATTTCACCACGGTTTGACACATCGAATGGCAGCTTAAAATCACCATCTGAGCATTTGTTAAAACCCTGCACAAATTTAAAAATTAATTTCTTATGAGTAGATTTGTAAAGAAGAATTATAAAATCCAGGAAAAAAAAAATCCCTACAGATGATGTGAAAATAGAATTTTTCATTAATAAAACAGCTGCCTACAATTTTCATTGGTAATGACTTTGGAACTCGCTTGCCTCTTACTTCACAGTGGTTTATTGAACTGTTGGTCTCCTGCAGTTTGCTTTATAGGCTGTGGCCAAAGGGGAAGCTTTCAATGCAGGGAACTCAGCGGCTCCTGTCTGTCTGGGCACTGGTGCATGGTAAACGACTCAAGGAGACAAATTACTTTCTGAAGACCAGTAGTTGATATTTTTTTTTTTTTGCTTTACTTCCAAGGGCAATTCTAAGTTCTAAACCATATCTGATTATGTTTCAGCATGAAAAATACCCTTTTACAAGGTTTTTAAGTCACAGAAGTTCATCCTGTAAACAGCTAACTCATCTGCTGTCAGAATATCCCGTTTGAATCTCGACATATTTCATAAGGAGCTTCGACATGAAAAAATAACTTGTTGAATTTCTATAACTCAGTGTGGAGACAGAACATTTTCACTGTACACTTGATCCAGTGAGACCAAGACATCAACGCCAGTGTGAGCATCTGAGGGGGGCCCTGCTCGCTCTCTGTGCTGAATTACCCGTATGAAATGCGGACTTAAAACACAGAGCAGGTGCTGGAGAAGATGATTCCCTTCAGTTTTGACAGAAAATAACAACAAAAGTCTTTGAAATTCGAACCGAAGATGTCTGTGCATATGCCAGTCGAGGCATATGCACAGAAATGAGCCCAGCGCAGGAGCCGTCCTGCTCCATGCAGGGGCAGGGGTGTGGGTGTGTGTGGGTGTGTGTGTGTGTGCACGCTCCAGCTCGGGGCTCTGCCGGGGCACTCCCCGGGCACAGCACTGTCCCCGTGTCCCCGGGAAGGGCCCCTGCGCTTTCCCCCTCCCCCTCCTCAGCCACGGCCTCCAGAGCACCCCAGCCCGAGGGGGCGGCCGGGGAGGGGGGGGGGCGTGTGCCGCCCTCAGCGGCCCCGCGGCCGAGCGCTCACCTGGGATCTGCCCGCAGGCACCTGCCCACCGCCCAGGCGCGGCGGCATGAACAATTTAAACCGGTTTTCCTTCTCCATGGCTCCGATAAAAGGGCGGGCGGGCGGGCCCCAGCGTCGGCAGCTCCCGGCGGGCGCGAAGGGCGGGAAGCTGCAGCGGCCCCTCAGCGCGGGGGCGGGGGCGCCGCCTAGCGGAGCTCGCGGGGCCCGCCCCGGGCACGGCCCGGCCGGACAGAGCGGCGGCCGCGGGGCCATCGGGACCATCGGCGGGGCTCGCTCGTCGCCGTGGACGCCAAAGAGGTCTCGGGGCAGCCCGGGGGGCCGGGCGGGTTGGGGATGTCGCCGTGGTCGCCGGCCGGGAGGGGCACAGAGGGACCTTCGCCGTCGCAGGGAAAGCGGGAGAGGTCTGAGGGAACGGGGGGTCCGGCGGGGAAGGGGGGTCCCGCCTGTAGAGGGAATAACTGGGGAGCCCAGTCCTCCTGTGACCCCCGTGTTGTAAATGGCTCTCTCAGAAACGTCGGTGGATGGGATGTTGTGTGTCGGGCGCCGGAACGCAGGGAGCTCCGGGAGGAGCCGGAGCAGAGAAAGGCAAAGCCCGGAGAGCTCGGGGGAGGACAAAGGTTTGCCGTGCGGAACGCGGTGAGTCTGTGCGTGAGGGGAACGCGGGCCCTGGAGGCATCTCCTACAGCTGGCACAGCCCCAGCCCCTGGCATCTGTGAGGAGGGGGCTGCTGGGGGCTGTGGCCACAGCTCTCTCCACAGAGAGCAGCAAGCACAACTTTCCCAGGCAGTGTCCTGGGGAAGGCTGTGAGAATATCAGAGAAAAGAATGAGAAACAATTCTTATCTTCACTTGCTGCGCCTCTTGTTATGCACATTTCAAATGTGTTATGGAGATTTGTTTACCAAAGGGTGATTTCTTAGTTAGCCACTGGTGGTAGTGTTGGAATTATTGACCAGTTGGATCTGTCTGTATCAGACTGTCTGTAAGGGTGATGAGTTTATCAAGAAGTATAGTATAATATAGTAGAATAAAGCAATTGATCAGCCTTCTGCAATCGTGGAGTCAATGCTAATACTTACCTGGCTGGGGGCCTGCGACGACAGAGGGGCAGTTTGGAATAACTGTGCAGCCAGGTGTTATGTTTGCCCGATTATCCCATCACAAATAAAAGGCCAAACAAAATTAAAATTAAATAATTTTAATGAAATTTAAGTAAAATAGTTTAAAATATATAAAATTAAATACATTCAATAAATTGGCAGTGGTGCTCAGGCCTGCCCTGCAGAGTGGGATCCCTGTGTCACAGAGAGTGGGATCCCTGTGTCACAGCTCTGTGTGCCAGGGCAGGGACTCTGCTGCCTGCCAGGAGCAGCTCTCAGCCAGGGAGCTGCTCACAGTGCTGGGGGATGAGATCTGGGTGTTGATGCCTGTATAACTTTGATCTAACTTACAAGCTGCTTATATAGCTTGAGCTATAAGATATCAATATAACCTGATATATCTATATAACCTGGTATCAATATAACCTAAACCATGACTTTTTATATATATCTATACAACCTGATACCTGTGTAACCTGAATCATAGCTTTTTGTACCTACATAACCTGAATCATAGCTTTTTGTACCTATATAGCCTGATATAAACAACTTTTTATACTATGTAATGGCTAGTATATAGGTCACTAGTTGCTTAATGCTGAATAGATGAAAAAAAGAAGGAAAAAAAACTCACCAGGTGGATAGCTTTAGAGATAAATAAGTATAGTACTAATGAAAAAATGGTAAGTACAAAGCCAATTAGCCACAAAACAAAGAACTTAAGCTGGTTAAGACCAGACAGACCAAGGAACATCATAACTGTGCATGATCTGAAGACAAACTTGAAAAGGTCAGGTGCAAAGAAGACCTTGGAAGCCTTCATTAAAGACCCCTGACTACCCCTGGACTGGGGAGGTGCAAGGGCAGTGCAGAAGAACTATCTAATAACCATGAGATCACACTATGTAAATTAGTTCCAGCAAGTATATGATGATGTTGTAGTGACACGGTGATACTAAGCAATACTTACTGTATAAATATACCACTGCACTTGACAAGGGTGGGTGAGTTAGGAGGAGAAATCCCCCTCACCACCAGCGCTGCAATAAACAAATACCTACCCTATAGACATCGGTCTGTGGGGATTTATTTCCAGCCTGTCTTTCAGCCCTCAGCAGCAGGGTGTGCCAGGACACCTGAAGGGGAAATTCTGGTTTTAAGTGCTCAGCAGTGGTAGTTTAGGACCAAGGGATAATCTGGAATGAAGGAGGCCTAGCTGAGGAAAGGCTTAAACAGGCTGTAACTATCAATGCCAGAGATTTGTGCAGGGAAGCCACACTACAAGAAACCAGTGTCCAGAAGGAGACAGAGGAGTCCTACAACTTTATTAGAACGAAGGGAGAGATTCCACTGGGGCATGTGCCCGTGGGGTCTCTCTCTCTCAGTTTTAGAGGACACAGCCCCCTTTAATCCTAAAGTCCCGCATGTTGCCCTCTTCCTTTTCCCGTGGCTGAGGTACCAGGATGGTAGAGCCTTCCTGAACCACCTACCACACATCCTGCCTTGAGCAGGTATCACCATTTTCCCTCAGGCTGTCTGGGCTCTGCAATGGACTTTGTGCAGACCCATTTGTCTGTTACCCTCAAGGTCAGGAGTTCAAACTGTCTGGGTCAAGCTGTTTGGGTTCTGTAACAAAGTAGTTGGCATGAGGTTGGTAGAGACATTAAGACACGTTTTGAAGACATTAACACCCACTACTCCTTGTTGGAATCTGAAATGCAGGGAAATGTCAGAACTCTGGGCCTGTAAGACAAAGCTTGGAACTAAACAGAGGATTTGATTTGAGACCTTAGAAAAGGCTTCCAAACTTGGGTGCTAGAAGCAAGAATGTAGATTTGTAGTTTAAAGCAGAGACGTGTTAAGCTAAGTAGAAGAAAGTTTAGAGTTTTGGAGTTTAGGATACAGGAAAAATAAAAGCAGTTACAAAGGTAATAAGAAGTTTAAAATGTAGTACTGTAAGTTTGTGTGTCATAACATGATTAACTAAGAAAGCTTACACTGTAGCCCTGAGTGCATAAGACAAAATATTTAAAGATTAGGTCAAAAGCATAAATCCTTGTTAGCAGTGTTTTATTAGTTAATAAATCTTTAAAAGGTCTTGTAACTAGAGGTCTTGTGACTTTCTGAGCCATGCAGTAAACATGTGAATCAAACTCACCCTCCCTGCTTATGTAGAAGATAAGAAAAATAAATTGCACCATCTATTGAGTTGTTTATAAACGACATCTTTCCTGTCAGACTGAAGAATTGTAAGGGAGTGAAGATCCCCTTGGTGATAAGGAGCAGCCACAACATTGTCCAGTACATCCTGGAACGGGAGTGCCATCTCAGATGGCAGAGCTGGGCTTGGGGCTGGGCCCAAGGCTGGGCTTAGGTGCCTTGAGCTGGTGCAGCTGTCTGTGAGAGATCAGTTCTGGACCCCTCTGTGCAGAGTCCTTGGAGAACAGCTTATGGCAGTAGGATTCTGCTCAAACCTCTGTGGGGGGAGCTTTTTTGGGTTTGTATTTAAGCAAAAGCATGTATTCAATTCACCTGAAGGGGTACATTAAAAATTCCTGACAGTTTTGGTCTTCACTCTGTGCTTGTGCTTCCTTAAGAAATGCTTCAATAAGAAGCTCTGGATACTATGTGTTCTGCAGGCAGAAAAACTATAAAAATGCTTTCTTGTTATTTAATTTCACAGTCTTTTCATTTTGACAGCACTCAATTAACTGCTTGAGAACTGGGGAACTGAGGAAATCATACCCAGAGCTGAGGCTTGGTCAGGCACTCAGCATGTTCGTGCACCCAGTGGTGCCAAATCCCTGAACTGCACCTTTGGGAGGCTGAAACTCCTGAGGAGTCAAAGTCTGTCAAAACCTCCAAGACTCTGAGGGTCTGACTGCCCCCATTGAGGGCCATCACTGAAGAGCCCAGAGAGGCCAGGACCAGAAAAGGACACTGTCCCTGGGTTCTGGTAAAGCAGGAAGTCAGAGGTACTCGTTACAGCTGGAAAATGTGGGGGTGCCCAGCCCCACCAAGGCCCTTGGTTGTCCCTGCCACAGACTGTCCTACACTGCCCGATGCTTCTGCTGTTTCTCTGCACACTTTAACCATCTGCTGCTCCCCAGACTCTCTCTGACCACAGGATGTCCCAAGATTTACTTATGTCTTCCTGCCCTCACTGGTTGCTGCTTCAAACACCAGTCTGTGGTTACCTTAGGATTTGCTGATGCCTCGAAGTTTCCCACAGCCTTTCAAAGCCCAATTCATGCTCCTCTATCACTCCACATATCCCAACCACAAACTCAAATCCCCTCTCCCCATCCCAACACTGGAATGCACACTATTTTTTCTCCCTTGTCCAGGTGAGGGGAGGAGTGACAGAATGATTTTGGGAGCACCTGGCATCTGGCTGGAGTCGCCCTCCTCCACAAGCCCCCAACACCCAGAACACCCCTCAGCACGACCCTCAGTCATTCCCAGCTCAAGCATTAGGGGCAAGTACAAAAGGAGATGGTTATGCCTAACTCAGGTTTGCTTCTAGATGCCTAGGAACCTTGTAGAAATTGATTTGAACAAGTTCAGTGTGAAATGCATTGTATTTTTATATTTGACGGAAATCTGGTAAATCGGCAGCAAAATAAGTGATAACTTCAAAATATTGGTTAGAATCTTGGTTAAAATATAAGATGATGGCTTTCTATTTCAATGCATTTTTCAGAAGGAATGCCTGGAACAAAAGATATAACAAACAAATTTAAGAGTTCCTATTTGTGGAAGCTGCAATAGAACACCAGACATAACAGGTGTGATGGTGCTAACCCAGTAAGACTCACCTTTATGGTCAGAATAGAAAGATTTAGCCACTTCCTGAACCTCACAGACCGGGTGAGGTTCATGACAGGTTTATCTACAGCCAGTGACAGCACATGCACTTGGACAGAGAGGTGGGGTACTACGGGGAACGTTCCCTTTGGGGAGCGAGTTGCCAGGAGCT